ATTCATAATTAAGATTTAAAAATTCTTAATCAAATATCTAAAAATAGTAAAATATCAAAACTAATTCTATTATATAGTTTTAAAACTTTTAGGATGATATTTTTTAAAAGTTTAAATAGAAGAATTAGAATATTATTTTATGAACATATTAGAAATTTAAAGTTTTAAAAGTAGAGTCACAAATTAGTTTTGAGGAGTAGAGTTGTAGGTAAATTAAAAATTTAGAATTAGAGTTAGAGTGTATAATAAAGAAAGAAAAATAAATTAGGGAATATGGGGATATTTTATTTTTATTTTTTAATTAAGTTAATAAAGTTATTAACTTGTAAAACAAGAAAAAGAAAGTTTAAAATACTACAAAAAAATATTATATTATTTAATTGAGTTATTTTGTAATTGAGTTTTATTTTATAATTGGATGCTTTATATAGTTCGAAAGTAAAATTACAAACCAAATCAATTATATCGATTTTAAAATTTTATAATTCAAACCAATTCAATTTTATATCAGTTTTAATTTTATTTTTTATTAAATTAAATTAATTTGAGTCAGATTAATCGGATTGGATTTGATATGAATACTCTTATTTGTATAGTTGGTAATAATGATTGTTCTTTCGTCAAATTATACAAATTAAGGTATAACTAAGAAAGGAATAATTACTCTAATATTTTTCTATTATATTAGTAGATGAAAGTGGAACCAGTATTATCACTTTCTAAGTGTTTTTTGTTTTTCTTTAATTTAAAAAGAGAATAATGTTCATTCAAGAGAGAGGGAGAGAGAATAATCAATTTTAAGACCTATTTGTTTTTCTTTTTTTAACAATAGAAACTTGGTTAATCTAAATGTGTTAGTATTTGTTAGCAAGCATGAGGGCTCGAATTCGGGACAAGGGGTGATCTTCACCTGCTCTTCATTAAGGAGCGCAACCCAACCAGTGAATTGTATGGGAGAGATTTAAGACCTATTTGTTTTGAGAGAAGTGAAGGGAGGTTAATTTGGTTAATCATATTACGTCAATGGCTAAAAAA